CAGGACGAGTGACGCTGCCCAATACTGTCCCTGTAGCCACATGTCCACTCACAGGACGAGTGACGCTGCCCAATACTGTCTCTGTAGCCACATGTCCACTCACAGGACGAGTGACGCTGCCCAATACTGTCTCTGTAGCCACATGTCCACTCACAGGACGAGTGACGCTGCCCAATACTGTCCCTGTAGCCACATGTCCACTCACAGGACGAGTGACGCTGCCCAATACTGTCTCTGTAGCCACATGTCCACTCACAGGACGAGTGACGCTGCCCAATACTGTCTCTGTAGCCACATGTCCACTCACAGGACGAGTGACGCTGCTCAATACTGTCCCTGTAGCCACATGTCCACTCACAGGACGAGTGACGCTGCCCAATACTGTCTCTGTAGCCACATGTCCACTCACAGGACGAGTGACGCTGCCCAATACTGTCTCTGTAGCCACATGTCCACTCACAGGACGAGTGACGCTGCCCAATACTGTCCCTGTAGCCACATGTCCACTCACAGGACGAGTGACGCTGCCCAATACTGTACCACCACCACAGACGGCACTGACAGCTCCTGGACAGGAATTCCCGGTCTTGCGAGGAGGGGAATTATACAAATATGTCTATGCGAGCCGCAAGGACCTACACTCACGGGCTCACCATAGCCCGTGCTACTTGGAACGTTTTGTTCCAGGTAGCGAATCTTAAACAACAAGGACCTATCTCCCGGCCTGCACTCCCACCCCCAGCGCCTACATCTGCACCCTTGCCCGCAGGTGTGGAAGATGTACTGGAGATTGGCGATGCTATCAGGTGTGGAATTATGATTACCTCTTTAACATCTACTCTGACAACTTTTGTGCCTTAATTGTAAGTCTATCTGTGGGTCTTACAGGTGTTTTTCTGCCGTGACACAGCGCCATCTGTTAGTCAACATGTGTGTACTTGTTACCATTCCTAAGAACTGGCCAGCATCTACGTCCTCCTGAGATAACTACAGAACCATTGCAGGCGATGAGTCACAATAACGTGGCTGAAGTATGTTGACCAGACCACACACTAGAAGTTGAAGGGACGACGACGTTTCGGTCCGTCCTGGACCATTCTCAAGTCGATTAGAACCACTGCTCTAAACACACTATCAAAGGGAGAAACTGATTCTATTTCTTCAGTGTGGCCACAAAACTGTTTACTAGATGAGTTGCTAGAGATTGCAAGAGTGCGGTGAGATGGAGTAATGTCCTCCCTGAAAATTCGTCACTTAAAAAAAAAAAATGGGACCAAATAAGCTGTGTTAGTAATTAGTAATTGTAATTCACACGCTATGCAAATGATTACAAACTCGTGTATAAGTTAAACTATGGAAGCCTCACAGTTCTAAACTTACGTTATATCTTTTGTTAATAATGTCTCACTGCTCTAATTGTTAGCCCCAAAGTTTCGTACACGTGTTCACCTGTTCAGTTCAACCACAACTGTAATGATTGCTATAAAACACTAACGAATAAAGATTAAGTTAATTATTAATCTTCTCGAATGTTAATTGTCTTCGGGGGCACGACCCCCCCCCCCGCACACACACACCATATCAGTTGGAATGGTGATAATGATAATGTTGATGGTGATGGCCCTCACACCATGAACAAATAAACAATGAGGAACAAAAACATGGACACGCACACACACACACACACACACACACACACACACACACACACACACACACACACACACACACGCACACACGCACACACACACACACACACACACACACACACACACACACACACACACACACACACACGCACACACACACACGCACACACACGCACACACACACACACACACACACACACACACGCACACACACACACACACACACACACACACACACACACACACACACACACACGCACACGCACGCACTCGTCAGGTGGGGAGGGGGAGGGGTAAGCCAAGCACTAGGTTCGCTCGCCTACTGCTCACTCAGTTCTTGGTGAACCCTCACTCACGCACTCACTCACTCACTCACTCAACAATGTTGCCAGGTCTGCTGGAATTTAGGTGTAACTTGTCATCTATACCTTCACCACGCTGGAACCTACGAAACCTGTAGATCTACGAAATCTACGAAACCTGTAGATCTTTCCTCGACCATGGCGGCTTTGCTTACATTTATTAAACAGTTGATGACCTTCGAAGCTTTATAAGCCAAGGTTATTATTGTTATAAACGAGCTCATTAGCAGTTTAATTCATGTAAACAAACGCTGTAATGACCTGAGGAAAGATGTAGCGGTTTCGTCAGTGAATTAGATGATGATGGATGTGAATACAAACACTTGTATTTGTGATTACTGAGAGTAATATTCTTCGCGAGTAATGTTTGTGTGACGTCAAATTGCGTCATATTATGAAGCAAGCCCGCGAGGCGGCGGCTGGTCGTGGTGGTGGGTTACCCGCATTCCCTGGCCCACTAGCAGTCATGGTCGTGTGTCACCCACCACCCACACCCCCACCCCCCCCCCCACGCCCTCAACCATAACTGCAGTGCTCGCTGGAACAAAAAGTTCCAAGCAGCACGGGCTATGGCGAGCCCGTAGTTCCTTCGGGCGCTGCTGCTTGCTCTTCGTGGCTCCCACCATCGTCTCCAAGGCCCGTCCACCTCTCTCACGCCAACCATCCTCAACTAAGTCCTATCTTCGAATATCCCATTGACAGCCTCCTCATAGGGCTACTAACCCCCCCCTTCACACTCCCATTGTGAGGGGGGGGGGGGAAGTGAGGGTCAAGTGTGAGGCTCAATTTGCAGAGGCTGAGACAGTTTGTAATCACCTAGTTGTGCTTGCGGGGGTTGAGCTTCGGCTCTTTGGTGCCGCCTCTCAACTGTCAATCAACTGGGTTTGATCGTATCAAGCAATCTGTGCAGGTGTAATTCTAATTCAAAAATAATATTCTTATAATTACTACCCAATGTACGATATATATATATATATATATATATATATATATATATATATATATATATATATATATATATATATATATATATATATATATATATATATAATATAATGTGTACCGTACTGTGGTCAGTTCATGAATACTACATGAGCATTTGAGCATGCTATCAATAATTTATTAAAGACTAAGCTTGGGCAGAAAAGAGAGAGAGAGAGAGAGAGAGAGACACTGCTACCTAGCACTGTCTCTGTTTCTGTCTCTTTCTTAGTCTCTCTCTCTGTTTCTCTCTTAGTGTCTCTCTCTGTCTCTGTCTCTCTCTCTCTCTCTCTCTCTCTCTCTCTCTCTCTCTCTCTCTCTCTCTCTCTCTCTCTCTCTCTCTCTCTCTCTCTCTCTCTCTCTCTCTCTCTCTCTCTCTCTCACCACTGTCTCCAGGATGAACACATGCACAACAACCAGGTCACGGGTGAACACGACCGCATGGGGGGTGTAGGGAAGCGCCCAGTTCCTACGCCACCGTCTCAATAATCCAGGTAACAAACGTGTTCTAGTGTAGAGCGGGAACAGGCGTCTCAAGGAGGCGCAAGAGGAGGAGGAGGTGGTGGGCCCCTCACCGCTCCCGAGAGCACGGGGGCGCCGCGGACCTCACATCGGGGTAACTGCAGAAAATGACCCCCGTGCATCCTGCCGGGCTGTGGTTTAGCGTCGGCCGGGTGTTGGGGTGGTGTGTAGGGTCTGCTGGTGGTACTGTGTCGCCACTGCTGCCTGGCACTTCACTGTGACGGGCCAGGCAGTTAGTGGTTGGCACTGTGACGGGCTAAGCAGTCAGTGATGGCACTGTGACGGATCAAACAGCCAGTGATGGCACTGTGACGGATCAAACAGCCAGTGATGGCACTGTGACGGAGCAAACAGTCAGTGATGGCACTGTGACGGACCAAACAGTCAGTGGTGGCACTGTGACGGATGAAACAGCCAGTTGTGGCACTGTGACGGATGAAACAGCCAGTGATGGCACTGTGACGGACCAAACAGCCAGTGATGGCACTGTGACGGACCAAACAGTCAGTGATGGCACTGTGACAGACCAGACAGTCAGTGATGGCACTGTGACGGACCAAACAGCCAGTGATGGCACTGTGACGGACCAAAGAGTGTCTCCACCTGGCAATTGATGAACACTGCTCTCAAACAGTCAAAAAAACTCTTGGATTTAATCCCCCAATACAAAAAGCACCGTGAAAAATCCCCTCAGAGTTCATTTCTGTGTTGCTGAGGACTCGCGTCTACCGACCAATTTGGCCAATTAGCATAAAAAATCACGTTAATTAAACGCCTTTCCAAAATCAACAAAACCCGCGCCATGGCATATTTGCGGTGTCAACACGCTCCTGAACTGTATTTCTTTCGCGTTCCTCAGCTGCCGGAGCCGCCCCCATCCGGCCAGGAGCACCGCCGCCACATGCTCCCGGAGCATTATTGCCCGCGGCCAGCATAGCGGGGCCAAGGGCATCATTATATGCTCCTAGCATTGTTAGCATGACGAGGGGAACTTACCTCCTTCACCGCCTCTGACAGGAGTACCTGGACACTCTACCACAGGCGTGTATAGAGTCAAGGATTGGCATCCGGGCAATCCTCCCCCGGCCAGGATACGAACCCAGGCTAAAGCGCTCCCGAAGCGCCGAGCGAGTGTCTTACCACTGCGCCACTTTGATGACTCTCACCAATGTGGTTGATGACTAATCACCACACCAAGCCACCACAAATTACCAGGACCAAGAACGTACTACTGAACACAATTGTTAGGACAGTGGCACCTCACGTGAGGGGGGAAACAGGGCCGGAAGTCATTGCGTCGTGTAAGGAGCCTGCGTAAGGAGGAGTGACGAGCGGCGTCTTGAAGGGCTCCGTACGTCGCAGGCTCCGTGTCAGAGATGGCTACGTCGGGGTCACAAACTCACGCTGGCGCTCTCTTATTACTTCCTCTCCCTCTGCCTAATGCTTTTATTTACAACATTTAGAGTGGAGAGTTTGGCTTCCTAAAATGACAGCATCTTCAGCCCGCCACAGGCCGCCACAGACCGCCACAGGCCGCCACAGGCCGCCACACGCCGCCACAGACCGCCACAGGCCGCCACAGACCGCCACAGGCCGCCACAGACCGCCACAGGCCGCCACAGGCCGCCACAGGCCGCCACAGGCCGCCACAGGCCGCCACAGGCCGCCACAGGCCGCCACAGGCCGCCACAGGCCGCCACAGGCCGCCACAGGCCGCCACAGGCCGCCACAGGCCGCCACAGGCCGCCACAAGCCGCCACAGGCCGCCACAAGCCGCCACAGACCGCCACAGGCCGCCACAGGCCGCCACAGGCCGCCACAGGCCGCCACAGGCCGCCACAGGCCGCCACAGGCCGCCACAGGCCGCCACAGGCCGCCACAGGCCGCCACAGGCCGCCACAGGCCGCCACAGGCCGCCACAGGCCGCCACAGACCGCCACAGGCCGCCACAAGCCGCCACAGGCCGCCACAGGCCGCCACAGACCGCCACAGGCCGCCACAGGCCGCCACAGGCCGCCACAGACTGCCACAGGCCGCCACAGGCCGCCACAGGCCGCCACAGGCCGCCACAGACCGCTACAGGCCGCCACAGGCCGCCACAGACTGCCACAGGCAGCCACAGGCCGCCACAGACCGCCACTGGCCGCCACAGGCCGCCACAGACCGCCACAGGCCGCCACAGACTGCCACAGACTGCCACAGGCAGCCACAGGCCGCCACAGGCCGCCACAGACTGCCACAGGCCGCCACAGACTGCCATAGGCAGCCACAGACCGCCACAGGCCGCCACAGACCGCCACAGGCCGCCACAGGCCGCCACAGGCTGCCACAGGCCGCCACAGACCGCCACAGGCCGCCACAGACTGCCACAGGCCGCCACAGGCCGCCACAGACTGCCACAGGCCGCCACAGGCCGCCACAGACTGCCACAGGCAGCCACAGGCAGCCACAGGCCGCCACAGGCCGCCACAGACCGCCACAGGCCGCCACAGACCGCCACAGACTGCCACAGGCCGCCACAGGCAGCCACAGGCAGCCACAGACAGCCACAGACCCCCACAGCCAACAGGGGACTGGCTGGCCGACGCTGGTCTTTGTCTCTCGCCACATGCAAGTCTTTGTCACACACGGCGTCGCTGCCTCTATTAAGGAGGAGGACAAAGATCTGAGGCACAGTCTAGGGTTGTGAGGCACAGTCTAGGGTTGTGAGGCACAGTCTAGGGTTGTGAGGCACAGTCTAGGGTTGTGAGGCACAGTCTAGGGTTGTGAGACACAGTCTAGGGTTGTGAGACACAGTCTAGGGTTGTGAGGCACAGTCTAGGGTTGTGAGGCACAGTCTAGGGTTGTGAGGCACAGTCTAGGATTCTGAGGCACAGTCTAGGGTTGTGAGGCACAGTCTAGGGTTGTGAGGCACAGTCTAGGGTTGTGAGACACAGTCTAGGGTTGTGAGGCACAGTCTAGGGTTGTGAGGCACAGTCTAGGGTTGTGAGGCACAGTCTAGGGTTGTGAGGCACAGTCTAGGGTTGTGAGGCACAGTCTAGGGTTGTGAGGCACAGTCTAGGGTTGTGAGGCACAGTCTAGGGTTGTGAGACAAAGTCTAGGGTTGTGAGGCACAGTCTAGAGTTGTGAGGCACAGTCTAGGGTTGTGAGGCACAGTCTAGGGTTGTGAGACACAGTCTAGAGTTGTGAGGCACAGTCTAGGGTTGTGAGGCACAGTCTAGGGTTGTGAGACACAGTCTAGGGTTGTGAGACACAGTCTAGGGTTGTGAGGCACAGTCTAGGGTTCTGAGGCACAGTCTAGGGTTGTGAGACACAGTCTAGGGTTGTGAGGCACAGTCTAGGGTTGTGAGACACAGTCTAGGGTTGTGAGACACAGTCTAGGGTTGTGAGGCACAGTCTAGGGTTGTGAGGCACAGTCTAGGGTTGTGAGGCACAGTCTAGGGTTGTGAGACACAGTCGAGGGTTGTGAGGCACAGTCTAGGGTTGTGAGACACAGTCTAGGGTTGTGAGACACAGTCTAGGGTTGTGAGACACAGTCGAGGGTTGTGAGACACAGTCGAGGGTTGTGAGACACAGTCTAGGGTTGTGAGACACAGTCTAGGGTTGTGAGGCACAGTCTAGGGTTGTGAGACACAGTCTAGGGTTGTGAGACACAGTCTAGGGTTGTGAGGCACAGTCTAGGGTTGTGAGGCACAGTCTAGGGTTGTGAGACACAGTCGAGGGTTGTAATCAGCAAGAGTTGTAATCAGCAAGGGAGGGGTTATGAGTAAGCCAGTTGTGAGAGGTTGTGAGGACCGGAGCACCAGGTGTGCTGGGTGGGGGGGGGAGGGGTTATGAGGAGCCAGTTGTGAGAGGTTGTGAGGACCGGAGCACCAGGTGTGATGGGTGGGGGGGGGGGAGGGGTTATGAGGAGCCAGTTGTGAGAGGTTGTGAGGACCGGAGCACCAGGTGTGCTGGGTGGGGGGGAGGGGTTATGAGGAGCCAGTTGTGAGAGGTTGTGAGGACCGGAGCACCAGGTGTGTGGAGAAATCAATCCCAGTCGCTGCATTATCAAAACTACTGCCACACCTCACACTGCTGGCTCGCTCCCTGCCTGCCTGCCTGTCTGCCATCCTGCCTGCCATCCTGCCTGCCTGCCTGCCTGTTGAGCTGCCTGCCTGCCTGCCTGCCTGTCTGCCTGCCTGCCTGTCTGCCATCCTGCCTGCCTGCCTGCCTGTTGAGCTGCCTGCCTGCCTGCCTGCCTGCCTGTCTGCCTGCCTGTCTGTCTGCCTGCCTGCCTGCCTGCCTGCCTGCCTGCCTGCCTGCCTGCCTGCCTGTTGAGCTGCCTGCCTGACTGTTGAGCTGCCTGCCTGACTGTTGAGCTGCCTGCCTGACTGTTGAGCTGCCTGCCTGGCTGCCTGCCTGCCTGCCTGTTGAGCTGCCTGCCTGCCTGCCTGCCTGTTGAGCTGCCTGCCTGCCTGCCTGCCTGCCTGTTGAGCTGCCTGCCTGCCTGCCTGCCTGCCTGCCTGCCTGCCTGCCTGCCTGCCTGCCTGCCTGCCTGCCTGCCTGCCTGTCTGCCTGCCTGCCTGCCTGCCTGCCTGCCTGTTGAGCTGCCTGCCTGCCTGCCTACCTGCCTGCCTGCCTGCCTGTTGAGCTGCCTGCCTGCCTGCCTGTTTAGCTGCCTGCCTGCCTGCCTGCCTGCCTGCCTGTTGAGCTGCCTGCCTGCCTGTTGAGCTGCCTGCCTGCCTGCCTGCCTGTTGAGCTGCCTGCCTGGCTGCCTGCCTGCCTGCCTGTTGAGCTGCCTGCTTGTTGAGCTGCCTGCCTGTTGAGCTGCCTGCCTGCCTGCCTGCCTACCCAGCCTGCTTTCTCATTCCTAACTGCTATCAGTGTTCCTATTTGTCAACTATATAGTCCTGCTGGACCGACTGTCACCATGCTAGTGTTGCTAGCTAGCTTCTAGTCTCTCTGCTCGCCTCTCTCAACCTCTCCTTAAAGTCTAGTTACCTCCCTTATACTTGGAGTCCACATATTATCCTCACTCTAATAAGACTTAATTGAATTCCTCAGATTAGGCAAAATTTCAATTAATTGTTGTGAAAAAAAGATGTAAATAATAATAAGTATTATTAGTCTATTGGATCTAGTAGTAATAGGCATCCATCAGTCTCAGGAGACTATGGAGTTGGGCTCTGGTTGTCGGTCTGGTCTGGAGTGGCCTCACCAGGGCGCAAAGCCAGGGTAGGTTGATACGGGGGAGAAGCTGTTACCCAGGCAGCAGGTCCCAGCTTGCTTATCCAGTATATCCATACAGCTTACACCTCACATGCTAGACTGGATAAAGGCTTCTTAGGCGGCTATTGGTCACCGGGTTTTCCTGGTAGTTAGTAAGGATAATAGCTACCCTGCCGGCGTGCCAGGGATTACAACGAGACGGCGGCTGGTCCTTCGACAGGCCTTGTATACCTCGATCTCTGCCTCCCTGTCTTATTTACCACCTCATAAGTTCGACCTCATGGCGGCCTTCTAACTTTCTGGTAATTCACCCCCATGCTAACCTGCCCCCCTCCTGCCCTCCCCCCTCCTCCTCCCTCCTTGAGATACCTTGAGATACCTGAGAGGTGAGGTACCTCCTCACCTCTCAACTCATTATGTTTACCAAAGGCTGCACACGGGAGCATAAGAATATGATGACAGAAATGATGAATAATTTATAATGTACTCACCTAATTGTACTCACCTAATTGTGCTTGCGGGGGTTGAGCTTTGGCTCTTTGGTCCCGCCTCTCAACTGTCAATCAACTGGTGTACAGATTCCTGAGCCTACTGGGCTCTATCATACCTACATTTGAAACTGTGTATGGAGTCAGCCTCCACCACATCACTTCCTAGTGCATTCCATTTATTAACTACTCTGACACTGAAAAATTCTTTCTAACGTCTCTGTGGCTCATCTGGGTACTAAGTTTCCACCTGTGTCCCCTTGTTCGTGTCCCACCCGTGCTGAAGAGTTTGTCTTTGTCCACCCTGTCAATTCCCCTGAGAATTTTGTAGGTGGTTATCATGTCTCCCCTTACTCTTCTGTTTTCCAGGGATGTGAGGTTCAGCTCCTTTAGCCTTTCCTCGTAGCTCAATCCTCTCAGTTCCGGGACGAGCCTGGTGGCATACCGCTGAATCTTCTCTAACTTTGTCTTGTGTTTAACTAGGTATGGACTCCAGGCTGGAGCTGCATACTCCAGGATTGGTCTTACATAAGTGGTATACAGGGTTCTGAAAGATTCCTTACACAAGTTTCTGAAGGCAGTTCTTATGTTGGCCAGTCTAGCATATGCCGCTGATGATATTCTTTTGATGTGGGCCTCTGGGGACAGGTTCGGTGTGATATCAACCCCCAGATCCTTCTCTCTATTTGATTCTTGCAGGATTTCCCCTCCCAGATGATACCTTGTGTTCAGCCTCCTGCTCCCTTCGCCTAATTTCATCACCTTACACTTTCCAGAGTTGAACTTCAGCAGCCATTTTCTAGACCATTCCTCCAGTTTATCCAGGTCATCCTGTAGTCTCTGCCTATCTTCATCCGTCTTGATTCTTCTCATAATTTTTGCATCATCAGCAAACATCGAGAGGAATGAGTCTATACCCTCTGGAAGATCGTTCACATATATTAGAAACAGGATGGGTCCAAGTACTGAGCCCTGTGGGACTCCACTGGTGACATCTCGCCACTCTGATGTCTTCCCCCTCACCGTTACTCGCTGTTTCCTGTTGCTTAAGTACTCCCTTATCCACTGGAGCACCTTCCCTTTTACTCCTGCCTGTTGCTGTGTACGAGGTGAGGTGATGATATGATGAAAGATTCTATCTATCAGTCCCCACTTACTTAATCCAGTAGCTTGCCAGTGAGTCCGGCCTACCTGTCTATCTGTTTTGCGATAGACAGTACAGGGGGAGATTATTTGGCAGTTTTGGAGAACGAAGTCTACCCTATTCCTTCCCCTGAGCCTCCCTGAGACAGTTGTTAAGTCACCTTTGGCCTGTAAGGCACTTCTTATTCCTCGTCTTAGTTCTGTGGTGATGTGTAATGGGGTATTATTTTCACGTCTTGTGAGTAATTCTGTCACCTTCGCTAAACTCTTCGGTTTCGTGATCTGAAAGATTCGTTTCTGTGCATCATTTATCACACTGACTCCTCTTGTCTGTTACACACACACACGCACACACACACACACACACGCACACACACACACACACACACACACACACACACACACACACACACACACACACACACACACACACACACACACACCAAGAGTCAATGCTCGATCCTGTAGGCACAAATAGGTAAGTACACACATACACACACACAGTTTCTTTCACCCTGAATGCCCTGTTACCTAGCAGTAAATAGGTACCTGGGAGTTAGTCAGCTGTCACGGGCTGCTTCCTGATGTGTACTCACCTATATGTACTCACCTATATGTGCTTGCAGGATCGAGCATTGACTCTTGGATCCCGCCGGATCCCGCCGACTCTTGGATCGTGTGTGTGTGTGTGTGTGTGTGTGTGTGTGTGTGTGTGTGTGTGTGTGTGTGTGTGTGTGTGTGTGTGGTGTGGAAAAAAAAGTAGTTGATTGACAGTTGAGAGGCGGGCCAAAAGAGCAAAGCTCAACCCCCACAAACACAACTAGTTGAATACACACACACACACATA